GAAGGTGGCAAGGGCGACGAGGACGGCACGGCCGTCGACGCCGGCGCCGCCGTCGCCGTCACCGTTGCCGGACTGCTCACCGGCAGCGACGCCTTTCGGGACGTCCCGCACGATTGTTCGTTACCTCTACAATGACAGCACAGATTCGTCTGGAAAATAAACGCCGCCGGAGTTTCGTCAGAGTCTGAAACGCTGGTTTGTGTCGAGAGAGAGAGAGAGAGGGAGGAAGAATAGAGGTTAACCCTTTGCACTAAAGAATATTTTTCTCGAGAAATATTCATTATTCCGATGGAATATCGATGATATTTTTTACAACTAACGTAAAGAACCTTGCATGAACTGAGCGACAAAACTATTTCCTTGCGATATTCCATGTGTTGATACATTATAGATAGTTTGATATTGAATTTGACATTTTATCGTTCTCTTGGGTCAAATCAAATGGCTGAAAGGCGCCTCTAGTGCAAAGGGTTAACACGTTCAGCCGACGTCTCTAAGGGTCAAATGAGAGGACATGCTTTGTAACTTAACCCTTTGCTCTCGGAAGGAGACTCAGCACTTGATCTGACGTGGAAACTGTAAAAGATGTTGAATGTTGAAGTTTATGTAATGCTTCGATACGTTCCTCGATGTACTTGTGACTTCCTTTCGAGTTAGTTTCAAGGAATATCGTCTTCGTCTTGTTAAATGTTAAATATTTCTAGTGAGAAACTTCTGAGTGCAAAGGGCCGACCCTTAACACGTGGACTGCCACGGTGGTCACTTGTGACCGGAGTTCCCAAATTGCTCGGAAACAATTACAATAAGAAAATTGATATCGAATCGAAATATTTAGTAACGCGAGAAGCTATATTACAGTACGAGTAATACCAAGACATTAATAATTATTCCAAATACTATCAGCCTTTACTATAAAGGATAAACCTTACTACAACAAAACGCTCGAAATTCTCGTGGCAGTTAGGACCGGAAGTGTTGCAAGTTTACTTCCTAAAAAGTGTCCTAACATATCTAACGGGAAAGAAGTTCACAGAGGTGACTTAGTACAATACTTAACGCGCCGATTAGTGAATACAATAACAGTGACAAAAATAATAAAATGGAGCATCGGAGTGAGCGGGCGCCATGCCGCTTAAATGGCGGATCGCTCCGTTAAGGGTGACTATCACGTTTCTCCGTGAGCTTTACTACAAATCATTAGAAAACACTTCTACAGTTTCATTCATGAAACATATATCGTACAACAAAAGAGGGAAACTTCTTTCGTTCGCTCGTCGAACGCGGTTTTTTGACGCTGAACGGAAAGCAAAGAGAGCTGCGCGCCGAACGCGTTAAAATTACCTGGAGGCTGGGCGATCGCAGCAACTTCGTGGCGTCTTCTCGGTTTTCTAAAAGCGTCGCTCTATGCACCAGCGTCTCCGCCGTGTCCCATGCCAGGTCGCTGGCGGGGTCTTTCGGGTCCAGCCGCAGCAGATGCTGAAGAACGCTGAGGAACGGTATTTCCTGCGGGGTGTCCGCGATCTGAAGCGTTACACGGTTTCTCTCGAATAATCCTGTTCACAGTGATTTTACCCGGTGATCCCCGACCACTCCCCGTTCCCTTACTTGTCCGAGAATCGCGTAGAACACGTCCACGTGAGAGGACAGATCGATCCCCGGCGGGCCGTGGTTCGACAGCTCCTCGTCGGCCTCCCGCTGGTCGTCGAACACGTCGAGCTGGACCCTCAGATCCG